CTTGAAATCGGTTGGGTCGAGGAGGTGACCCGTGTTGACTTTCTCCATGGGTTGTGTGTTCTTGGATGATTTTCTACTTGAGGATGCCATTTGTGAAGTTATTTTGGAATGGGTATCAAAGTTTTGTAAGAATGAGAGGTTTCGGTTATGGTGTCTCGTAAAAGAGAGAGAAGAAGGTTTTTGAAATTGGGTTTATTTGGGAGTGGAAGAGTTTTTTAAGACTTTTAGGGCTAGAGGGACGAAAATACCCTTAATGATAAGCTTAGTGGGGTTTGAAAATTGAGGGTAATTTGGTCAAAATGTTGAGTATGGAAAATGTTCAGCTCAAGGATATCTCAGATGAATTAGATACATGCATAAAAGACATGCAAAAATATTTTGTCAAAAAGAGATAATGATTGTTTCATCCAAATTCAATGGAGTAGATGCACAATAAATTTCATTCTCTGACACTATGTACATGTGTTATGCAAACAAGACAAATCCTTTTTCAAGGTAAATATTAATGTTCCAGGTAAAAACTCTATAACTTTACAAATGGCTATGCTAGTGAGTAGGGTAAAATACTTTGTAAGACCACACATTAGACACGTACAAACTTAATTAAAACATGCAAAAGATAACCTTAAGAATTAAGTCATAAGATACGAATTTTAAAAAAAAATTAATGAAAAATTGCATTTTAATTAACACAAAGTCACATAACATGCAAAACACAATTAACGCAAATAATTATGCAATTAACATATATAGGTACGTGACAAATAAAATAAACAAAATAACCAAAATTAAATTAAACAAATTGAGCTTAAGGATAGAGAACGTGATACTTAGCTCATTTCGATCATGCCCAACTCATGCCTTAGAGTGATAAATCGTGATTCGCACAAAGGCTTTGTCAAAATATCTGCTAATTGATTTTCTGTTGGTACGTGATCGATTTTGATGTCTTTCTTCTCAACATGATCTCGTATTAAATGGTGTCGGACATCAATGTGCTTTGTTCTTGAATGAAGTACTAGGTTTTGAGAAATTGCTATGGCGCTAGTATTATCACAGAAAATACTAACTTCATTGCAATTAACTCAATAATCTTTTAATTGTTGCTTCATCCATAGAATCTGTGCGCAACAACTCCCTGCAGCGATATATTCGGCTTCGGCTGTGCTTGTTGCAATGGAGTTTTGCTTCTTGCTAAACCATGAAACTAACCTCCCCCCTAAGAACTGGCACGTTCCTGAGGTACTTTTTCTATCAATTTTGCAACCTGCAAAAACTGCATCTGAAAAACCGATTAGTTCAAAGTTTCCTTCTTTAGGATACCATAGTCCAACATTAATGGTTCCTTTAAGATATCGGATAATCTTCTTGACAACAAGTTGATGGCTTTCTTTTGGCTTAGATTGGAATCTTGCACATACACCCACTGAGTAAGATATGTCGGGTCTACTCGCAGTGAGATATAATAAAGATCCAATCATTCCTCGATATTGCGTCTCGTCAACATCTTTGCCTTCATCGTCTTTGTCCAATTTGACTGATGTGCTCATTGGAATTTTTACTGAACTCTTTCCTTCTTGACCAAATCTTTTAATAAGATCTTTGGTGTATTTGGCCTGATTTATGAGTATTCCTTCCTTCAGTTGTTTTACTTGCAGTCCAAGAAAGTAGTTTAGCTCTCCCATCATGCTCATTTCAAACTTGTTCTGCATGAGCTTAGAAAATTTCTCACATAGCAATTTATTAGTACTTCCAAAAATGATATCATCAACATAAATTTGTACTAATAAAATATTATCATTTTTTTGAATTTTAAATAAGGTTTTGTCAACAAGGCCTTTGGTAAACCCACAACTAATTAAGAACATTGATAGGGTATCATACCAAGCTCTCGGTGCTTGTTTTAACCCATATAATGCCTTATTTAGTTTATAGACCATATCAACATTACCTTTTACCTCGAAACCTGGGGGTTGTTCAACATATACTTCTTCTTCGAGTAGGCCATTTAAGAATGCGCTTTTTACGTCCATTTGATAGACTGTAAAATTCTTGTAAGCTACAAAGGCTAGAAAAATTCTTATTGCTTCCAATCTTGCAACCGGGGCAAATGTCTCATCAAAATCTATTCCTTCTTCCTGTGAGTAGCCCTTTGCAACTAGCCTTGCTTTATTCCTAACAACGATTCCATCTTCATTTGCTTTATTTCTAAAGACCCATTTTGTTCCAATCACGTTGTAATTAGATGGTCTTGAAACAAGCTCCCAAACATCGATACGTTCGAACTGATTTAGCTCTTCTTGCATTGCTTCAATCCAACTAGGATCTTTTAAAGCTTCATCTATGTCCTTCGGTTCCACCTGAGAAAGAAAACAAGAAAATAGGGTTTCTTGTAATGCGGATCTAGTTCTCACGCCGTCATGGATATCTCCAATGATTTGATCTTGTGGATGATTTCTTAGCCACTTCAAATCGGGTTGGAAACTTCCTTGAGAAGTAGAGGGTTCGTGTGAGGTGGAGGGATTTGGATTTGCGGTTTGATCCATTCGTTGATCCTCACTATTAGTTCCAACTCCAACCCTAACACATTCTCTTACTTCTTCCCTTATATCATCTTCCACATCGGTTTCTATTCCGGAGTAGTTTAGATTGTTATTTCCCTGCAGAATATCTTCAGAAATTTTATTAGTATTATTTTCATCATTGCTGCCAACTGTCGGATATTCCTTGCTCTTCGAGAATTCATCAAACACGACATGAATGGATTCTTCAACCACCATTGTTGATTTATTTAATACTCTGAATGCTCTGCTGGTGGAAGAATATCCTAAGAATATTGCTTCATCTGCACGTTCATCAAACGTTTTTAGATATTTCTTACCATTATTAAGAACAAAACATTTGCAACCAAATGAATGAAAATAACTAAGGTTAGGTTTTCTCCCTTTCCAAAATTCATAAGGTGTCGTGTCATGCAGCTTGTAGATTAGACTTCTATTTTGGGTATAGCAAGCAGTATTGATTGCTTCGGCCCAAAAGCGTTTAGGTAGCTCGGCTGCAGCTATCATTACTCGTGCGGCTTCTTTAAGCGTACGATTTCTCCTTTCGGCAACTCCGTTTTGTTGTGGAGTTTTTGCGGCTGATAGTTGATGCATAATTCCTTGAGTATTGCAGTAATTTTGAATTACGCTATTCACAAACTCTATTCCTCTATCGGTACGAATTTTGACAATGCTGACTTCCTTTTCATTTTGAAGTTGTTTGAGAAGTTCTGGTAGCTTCTTCTCTACTTCATTTTTCTTCCTGAGAAATATTGTCCATGTGTACCTGGAAAAGTCATCAACAACAACAAGAGTATATTTCTTACCACTCATACTTACTGGCTCCACAGGACCAAATAGATCCATATGTAGTAGGCTACGAGGTCTTTGACTTGATTCGTGTGTTTTTGTCTTGAAGGATGATTTGATTTGTTTTCCCTTTTGACATGCATCGCAAATCTGATCCTTTCTGTAGGTGATGTTGGGTAGTCCTTTGACTAGATTTCTCATCACGAGCTTGTTGATGGTTTTGAAGTTGAGATGACTCAACTTTTTGTGCCATTCCCAACCCACATTGCTTGGGTCGTTTGCTACAAGACACATAGAGTCTTTGGTTGTGCTCCAGTCTACAACATACATATTTTTCTTTCTGATTCCTTCTAGAACAATCTCGCCTGTGGATCCGTTTTTCACTTGACACTTGTCTTTGAAAAACTCTACAAGATAGCCTTTATCGCAAAATTGACTTGTGCTCAGCAAGTTGAACTTTAATCCTTCAACATAGGATACGTCTTCTATTTTTTGACCATTGCGGGATACTGTTCCTATTCCTTTGGTTGTACCATATCGATCATTTCCTCCAAACACAACTTTTGGTCCTTCGATATTTTTAAAATCCACAAGACTAGATTTATTTCCAGTCATGTGTCGAGAACATCCACTATCGAAGTACCAAATTTCCTGCAAACATTTTACGCATTTTTAGGTACCCAACTTAATTTGGGTCCTTGAGTGTTAGTCCTTTTTGGTACCCAAATCCACCTGGTTCTTATTGATCCAAGATTAGGTGATTCGTAACCATTGAAAACATTATAATCATACCTAATTTTCGAAAAAGGTTTTGGTGCCGAGTTTTGAAAATTGACTCGATCTTTTGGCACTTGGGAAGAGATTTGTTTGAGCCTATGGAAGGCATTAAACCTAGATTTTGTCCATGGTTTAATTTCATCAAACCAATCTTCTTCAGAGGGATAAAGTCTCCCTGCCTCAATTCTTGGATTTCTTCCCGTTTTCCTATGACTTTGTGCACTCGACTCATTGGTATGTTTCCATTTAGGAACAAACTTTTGCCTATTATTTGACTGCATTGATGAATTGAATTTTCTTTGAGGCTTCGGCCTTGCAGTAACATTTTTGGCATTAGGTTGATAACCAATTCCTTGTCTCACTGTGCTATCTTGATCTTTTACAAATTTTACTACTTGGACTTTATTATTTAAAGCAGTAGTATTATTAGTCAATTTCTCAGAGGCTTGAGAACACGATGGATCATAACCAAGTCCGATTTTATCTTCTGAGGATTTTTGCATATTTATCATTTTATCCATTATTTTGGATGAATGTGTAAATGTTGCTATAACCTCTCTAAGGTTGTGTTCTCTCACTTCCCTTGATTTACACTCTTCTTGAAGTCGAATATTTTCGGCTTTCAAGTCTCATATTTCAGATAGAGCATTTTGCAATTTTTCATTTGAGTAAAAGACAATTTTGGTCCTAGACTTATAGTGGCACAGACAATTTTAGTCCTTAATAAAAAAAATCAGACAATTTGTGGACACTCTTATTGTGACGAGGACAATTTTAGTCCTCCGTCTATATTTCTGTTAGATGGCCGTCTGAGAGGAGGGCAATTGCGTCAATTCACCCTATTTTCTTCTCCAACCTTCAATCTCTGTAAGTCTCTTGTTGTACTATGGACCAATGCACAATTTGCAGCCATACTTCATCTCCACAGACTGCAATTTAAGACGCACCAAAACTAAATTACTTCATAGGAAAGCTAATCAAACACAAAGCACTCAAAATTCAGAACTTATATTGCACTGAATTCTCAAAAAATCAGAAATGTATTATTAAATCAGTAATGGAGTTGAAAGAAACACTGGACCTGACCGAGAATATGCGCACTCGAGTGCCAGAAAGTACCCCGCCCCTCGTCACTATCAAATGTGAATAGCTCGAGCTTGCAGTCACCCTCCAGTGGCCTGGACATATCCCAGAGCACACTGTTGACCTTTGAAATCAAAGCATTCGATGTCAAGCTCTTGGATAGTTCCTTCGCAATGTCAAGGGGCGTTGTATTCCATTTCTTCCCCTCCTTCACTGAATCACTGACCCATTCGTTAACTCGATCCTTGGAAACTAGAAAATGTCAATTGAATGAAATCATAAACCGAAAAAACAAGCATCATTTATGCATTTTCTATGTGAAAGCATCAATGGATAATAGCAGGTACTTTACTTGATGGGATAAGGAGAGAGAGAGAGAGAGAGAAAGGCGCTGCATTTGCTGCTGAGATTTGATGGATTTGAAGATAGAAATTCGCTTAGGAATCACGCTTTGGAGATAAGCATCGTCTTTGGGGTGCTCCGGCACGGAGTTGTTGGCGGCAGAGCTTTTGTCGGGCTTGCCCATTTGAGATGGCCGGAGAGAGAAGCGGCGAATGAAGCTGGAGTTCGACGGCGATGGATGAAGGAAAGAGATGAGGCGCCACAGGAGTTTCGGGGTTGTGCATACCATAAAGCAAGCAAAGCCAGCCGATATGAGAAGGTACGGGTTTTAGAAGGTGAGTGAGGGTTTTGATTTAGCAGGCTGAGATTCCAATTGTGCTCAGAGAATTGAAGGTTGGAGAAGAAGATAGGGTAAATTGACGCAATTGCCCTCATCTCAGACGGCCATTTAACCGAAATATAAACGGAGGACGAAAATTGTCCTCGTCACAATAAGAGTGTCCACAAATTGTCTGATTTTTTTATTAAGGACTAAAATTGTCTGTGCCACTATAAGTCTAGGACCAAAATTGTCTTTTACTCTTTTCATTTAGTTGATCTTTTTCAAGAATCAGTAAATTATTGCGCTCATTGATTTGCGAGTAAGTGTCCATCATGGTTTGACAATCCTTCATCATATGAAAGATAGACTCTTTAGAGAAAGATGAACTTACAGAATCAAAGGATTTAGAAGTTACCTCATCATCATCTGTTTCGTGTGCCATAAGACATAAATCTTGACTATTTGAATTGCTTGACATGCTCATTCCAAATAGTGCATTATCATCTGTAGAACTGTCACTTTCGTTGCTAGAAGATTCCTCAGACTCACTTGTTTCTAGTGGGTCACTAATAAGAGCTTTCCTTTTGTCTTTCTTGTTGAATCTCCTATCCTTGACTTTGGTTTCCTCCTGCATGGTGTTAGGTTGATTTTTGCTTACCTTGGGATAAGGACATTCGGCCATAAAGTGTCCAGGTTTTCTACAGTTGTAGCATAAATTTGAATTGTCCTCCATGGTTTCCTTTTTATTCCTTCGTGACATGCTTGCTTTGGGAAAACTTTTGTGATTGTTTTTCTTCATAAACCTCTTGAATTTCCTGACAAACAAAGCAAAGTTTTCGTTATTTAATAATTCACTATTATCTACTGACCTTGACGTGGACGGTTGTTCGGCAACTAGTGCGTTGTTCTTTTCTTCGCATTCTTCCTCCGTCCTTGACTTCATTTCAAACTCATAGGCTTTTAGATCACTAAAAAGCTTATCAGTTGATAGAGTCTTTAGATCTCTATGATCACGCATGGAAGTGACTTTCATGTCCCAACTTGACGGTAAACCACGTAGGATTTTGAGTGAGATTTCCTTTTGATTAATGTCTTTTCCAAGATCATTAATTTCTCCCAAGATTTTGGCAAATCTTGTTTCCATGTCGGTAATATTCTCGCCACTTAGCATTTTGAAATCTTCGAATTTCTTTAATTCTATGGTGAGTTTATTATCCTTTTCCTGTTCGTCACCTTCACCAATTTGGATGAGTGTCTCCCAAACTTCTTTTGCGGATTGGCATTTTCGGACCTTTGGAAATATCGTATCATCGATAGATTTGAACAAAATATCCTTGGCAATATTATCCAAGTTATTTCGCGTTCTATCTTCACGAGCCCATTCCACTTTAGGCTTTGCAATGTATTGTGGAGTATCACTTGTTTGTACAGAAGCAGTGTTCACTTGCAAGATTTCAATCGGACCATTAGAGATTACTTCCCACATTTCATCATGTAGTGCAGATAAATGTACCTGCATGCAAATTTTCCAATCATCAAATTTTTCTAGAGAAAACAATAGATTCTGGGCAAGAGTCACGTCTCCTTTCATCATCTTGATTTTTTTGAGATCTGTCTAGCAGTCAAAATTGACTCAAATAGACAACTGCTCTGATACCAATTGTTGGTCCCGAAAGGGTGGTAAAAAGTCTAGAGGGGGGGTGAATAGACTTTTTAAACTTTTTCACAATTAATAACACTTTGGTAATTTCAACTCTAAATAACAAGATATGAAAATTTAGATGCGCAGCGGAATAATTAAAACAACCAAGTGTTACGTAAAATCAAAAAGATATATCACATGCAATATGATAGATATGCTTGCAAAGGCTCAAATAATAAGTATGTAAATTTATGCCCACATGCAATCGTGAAATCTACTAGACCTAGATGAATAAATTCGCACAGTATAAAAATTGGGTCAGTCAAATATTCAACATGCAAGATAACAAATGAATATTTAAAGAGATGGTGCACTCAATATGTGTGTGGTATCACGTGTGAAGCAATGAGTGAATCCAAATGGAAATGTGTCTGCATGCACTTGTAAAGTCACATAACCCAATCAATAAGATAAATGAATAAGACGAATAGTAAATGGGTTAGTATGCATGCAATAATAAATAAAAGCAGTATGTAAATGAGAGAGGCAATTTATAGTGGTTCAGAGGTGGTGTAATCCTCCTAGTCCACTCTTCTCCTTTCACTCCAAGGAGGAAATTCGCTATCTCGTTCACCCAGATACAAATAGTGAATCAAGTGCACACAGGCACTTCCCGAGTGTTTTGCACACAGCTACACTCAATCCCGAGTATCTCGCACAAAGCTATACTCCCGAGTATATCGCACAAAGCTATACTCCTACACCAACTAAGTGTTTTGCACCCAGCTACACTTAGCGCCACGAGTGTCTTGCACAAAGCTACACTCAACAGGGTAGTGTCTTGCACAAAACTACACTCAACCCTCTTTCTACACACAGTAGAGGTAAGATTTAGAGAAAACAAATTTCTCTTCTAATGACTTGAAGTATCTCTCGTGTAAGCTCAAACTGGATATTTCGAATTTTTCTCTTTGTATATTGTGTTGCCTTCTCTTTTTCGTGTATTGCTCTCTACTACATGTCTTCAAGTCTTCTTGGTATATATAGCTGAAGAAGCTATATTACCGTTGTAGCATCAGTTGATCCTGATCGTTCATCTTGATCAGTTACACATTATTGCCAACTTGCATTGCGGTGATTTAATGCAAGATATGGGCTTCATACAGTGAGTATGAAAATCCTCACCTGACAAATCTTCAAAAGTCATACATATCGGCTCATCAGCTGAATCTTCTCCAAAAAAATAATTTACCTTATCTTGACGGATTCAAAATGATGAAATCTTCCAAAAGATTTCATGCTGATTCTTGCTTGAGTAAAAATTATATCTCCGTCCATTTCTTCTTCTGAAGTGATATGAGATTCATAGCAATAGATTTAAATGAGAAAGAAGATGTGTAGAAGAATTCACGTGCATCTTCCTTATCATCCCACAAGCTTCCAAACTTGTAGTCAACTTAGCCTTGCATGTGTCCACATTGTAGCATGCATCCAACAAGTGTCATCTTTAAAAAAAATACTTCCAATGGGATTTGAACACGAGCCCAATTAGATTTATCTTCCAAGCTTGTACCACTATACCCTATTAACTCATTGGTTAATATTTCTGAATTTAATATTTATTCCCAGAATGGCTTTAGTAGCATTTTAGATTAATTCGTAAATTAATCCGAGTCTGCCTCTTGGTCGTCCCCTATCAGCCTCTTCGTCGTCCCCTTCTTTATCTCTTAATTAAAAATGTAGAGATTAAGCCTCAAACCCGTGACCTCCAACTTTAGCAACCTTGTTCCTTATCCACATCACCGCTTTATCCTTTGGTGTTTTCTAATGTAAATAAATCTCAAATAGTAACATTCTGGATAAGTATATTTTGCTAAGAATTCGTAGACTTTTATGGCTTGACTTGGGACTTAGGCTAATAGACAACTAGACTCAAAATAAAATATGGGGGTTCTAAAAATACAAATTTGGCTCATCAAAACTATTACACTTTATTCCTAACAAAAAGTTAACGGATAATCATATTCATTAAGGATAAATTAGGAAATCTTAAGGGAAAAATAAAATCTAATCAATCTGAGTCATTCATTTGATTAAAAAATTTGACCGCCATTTTTTCTACCCATTATAGGCCTAACTCTCTTGGGCTCTTATTAGTATAGATTATTATTATTATTATTATTATTATTATTATTATTATTATTATTATTATTATTATTATTATTATTATTATTGTTGTTGTTGTTGTTGTTGTTGTTGTTGTTGTTGTTGTTGTTGTTTTGAATTACAAGACTTTGGTGAGTTATTTTGATATCTTATTAGTTATTTTTTATTATATTTAAAATTATTATTATATTATTATTATATATTATTATACATGTTGTAATATTCTAAATAAAATAATTAAAATGTTTAATTATACAATTTTACTCATTTTCCAGAAAATGAACCAAACACACCAAGACAGTTTTCAATAATGTAACTAAACATAGAAAGAAAAATATTTTCTGAAAAATAATTCATTTTCCAGAAATTATTGTCCTGCTTTCTAAACGAACCCTTATAGAAAATAGGAGCCTTTCCTCCTTTGTCATGCCATGCGACCCAACACATCACCTCCATCAATACAATGCACTGATGCACCCATTTCCATTATTCCCTTTTCTATGTATATAAATGTACTAAAAATGAACAATGTACTCATCATGTGCACTATTATTTCAACAAAACAGTAAAAAAATAAGCAAAAACGTTAAAGTAGTTTATTAAAACTATCACGAACAGGCTCAAGTTTATCCTTCCCAAGCTAATAGGGCCTTTTCAGAGCTCATTCGTGCCTGGGAGACAGATCTCAGATAACATCCTAGTCTATCAAGAAGTAATGCACTCCATGAGAACAAAGAAAGGGAAAAAAAGGGATTATGGCTATCAAAATAGACCTGGAAAAGGCATATGACCGGCTTTCCTGGAATTTTATTAATGGCACCCTTTTTGATGCAGGTTTCACAGAGACGTGGGCGCGTATCATCATGGAATGTGTCCAAACGGCTGAGATGAAAATCGTGTGGAATGGAGCGCGGCTAGATAGCTTCAGACCTTCGAGAGGCATTCGACAGGGTGATGCCATGTCCCCTGCCATCTTTGTCTTGTGTATGGAACGGCTAAGTCATGCGATTACCAGGGAGGTGGCGAACGGTCTTTGGAAGGGGGTGCGGCTGTCCGCGAACGGCCCCGCTATTTCACATCTATGCTTCGCTGATGATATGGTCCTCTTCTCCGAAGCCTCTATCGAGCAAGTCTCGATTATTCGAAGATGCTTTGACCAGTTTTGCGTCGCTTCAGGTCAACGTGTAA